GGGCAGGAGGGAGGGGTTTGGAGTGAGAATGATGAGAAGGTGAGGAGATTGGTTTGTTTAGTTTAAATTGTACTATTCATTTGCCTTGTACTGTACGTTTTAGGACAATAGTTTATGTCTATCCTATAAAGTTGTACTACTAGTTATCTTTGTCCCAAGTACGTCTTCGATTTTATATTGAATAAACACTTTCATTTTAAAGTCCAAGAAAAATTGCATTAAAAAATATTGCATTTCTTTTGCATACTTAATATTTTATCGTTTGTCCACAAACAAAACAAAAATAAAGTTAGTTTTTAGTAGTAGTTTACAAGATCTCGAATTCTCACAGTGACCTTTGGATTCTTAAGTAGTGGCAAGGAGGAGCACATAGGAATGCCGACCACTACATAAGTCATTAGTGGCTGAGAGAAAGTGAGCAGCACCTTATATAGATTGGGCGGAGCCAGGGTCAGCTCAACCATAAGGCCACTAAAACAATGACTTAGGGCCCTAATTTTTTGGGGATCTCATTTTTAAAAAAAAATGCATTTTATATATTATTTTTTAAAAAAATTATACATATAAAAATATTTTTGGTTCTTATATACAACAACATCCCAGTAATTTTTGGTTCTTATATAGTGGTAAAAAAAAATAAGATCACTAGATGATGAGAAATTGAAAAGGCATTATCTTAACCTTGAATTTTCTTTAACACATAATAGTTATTCTGATGGTTTAGATTTATTTTTTGAATTAAAAGTATTAAGAGAAATAATAAAAGTAGAAGATAATGATCTAATCAAAATAAATCAAATAAAAAAATAAATTCATTTCCAAATACATATATGGCTTATAGTATAATGTTAACAATTCATGTAATTGTTGCCTCAACTGGAAGAAGTTTTTCAAAACTAAAATTAAATGGATTAGCTATATCATCAATTCAAAAGGAATTAGTAGAACAAATTGATTATAAGATAATAATTAATGATTTTGTATCTAAAAAGGCTAGAAAAGTAGACTTAAATAAAAATATATATGACGATCTTTCCTTTTTTTAATTTTTTTTTAAAAGTTAGGGCCCCTCGATGATGTTTGGCTTTGGCCCCCGATTTTGTTGAGCCGGCCTTGGGCGGAGCTAAAAGAAGCAAGCCCCTATCAGAGAAAGCAATTGTTGGAAGCTAAGCAAAGTCACGAAGCTGGCTGACTACGCTCAAGCAGAGCTTAGACTCGGAGGGGGTGACTGATCTCGCCACAGAGTTCAAGAGCGAGCAAGACTATCTTGGTAAATGTAATAAGAACCGGCTGCGATATGAGAGTTAGCCCGTCGACGACTGGTGATTCGGCAAGCGATTGATTCGGCACATCTAAGTATTCTCTGCTATGAGGATGAGGGAGAGGTGATGCGAATAGTGGAGAAAACTATAATATGGGATATCGTACCACACTGAACAATATTGTGAAAACTTTTTACAATATGAGTGTATTTTTAATTGATTACTGCAAGTTAATTATTTTATTTTTTAGGTTACTAAATTAGAAGTATCATAGAGTTAATTACATGTTGTTACAAGTCATCTTAATCATATGTCTACAAAATATACATTGTGGTCATAAGTTACACTTTTCTTTTTTTACATAACCTTCACAAATTTTAAGAATTCAATTTTATTAATTAAATTACGGAAAAAGGGTCAAAAATATTCCTTTATTATGTGAAAAGGATCACGTATACCCTTCGGTATACTATTGGTCTACTATAGCCCCTGACGTTATAAAATTGGTGCAAAAATACCCTTAGTCCGTTAAATTGTCCACCATGTCAAGCATTATCACACATGACATGATTTTTTGATGATGTAAATGTCACGTGGCAATGTCACTTCACCACTCCAACCTCATTGTACCTCCTCCTACCACTTATTTCTCTCTATAATTGCCTAAACCCTTAAGGATCTATAACAAAAAATTTCCAGAAAATAAATTAGCTAAACATGAATACTAAATTTTCTTTACTTTCTTTTCAATTTTTTAAAGATGACAGCCTTTTACTTAGTATTTTACAAGGGGAGAAACGACTTTTGGAATCAAGAACATAAATTGTTGAAAAATTCATACCAATTAGAGAGAGAAATAAAATTAAGCTGGCTTTTCTAGCCAGTAATTATGAAAAACTTATCACACAAACACTAATTAAATTTCACATGAAAAACACATATCTAGAATCAATCAGACAACTTAATTATGAAACAAACACTAATTCATTACCCATATAATATATACATTTTGAATTTTCACATAAGAATATGACAATAAGTGTAAGATCCCTTTTGGGTTATTCTTACACTTACTTCCGCCAATCTTAAAACTATGAAATTAACAAAGAAAATATTAAAAAGGAAATTAACCCTCTTGTTACTATCAACAAATACCCATAATATTTGACTTCATGATTACTTTGCTATAGATTTTCCTTTAGCAAAGTTTATATTTTTTTACCCCAACCATAGATAAAGAAATTAACCAAAGATTTTTGACCTTTTTCCCAAATATGTCTCTTTATATGTTAACAGCACGAGTAGAAATTCAGTGGCATCTCGCCGCCGGTGATCCGCCGGAGACCATTCTCTCAGTGGCAGTACTAGTTGAAGAAGCTGAAGACTTCATTGAAAATCCGTTATCGGGAGACCCGAATAGATGTATATCCGACATCTCGAACCGACCCGAATCGCCAGGAAATCTCATGTAAGAACCCAACGGCGATTCATTAGTCATTCCGCCTTGTTTAGTATTTTTGTAATCTATTATTGCTTTGTGCATAAATGGAATTAATCTCTCCATTTTTGGGTTATTCATGTTTAGCTAATTTTTTTTGTTATAGATTTTAAGGATTTATGCAACTATGGAGAGGAAGAAGTGGTAGAAGGAGGTAAAATGGGGTTTGGGTGGTGAAGTGGAATTGCCACGTGGCATTTACATAATCAAAAAATCAGGCCATGTGTGATGATGTTGGATATGGTGGACGATTTAACGGACTAAGGGTATTTTTGTATCAATTTTATAACGTCAGGGACTGTAGTAGAGCAATAGTATAATGGAGGGTATATGTAATCCTTTTCACATAGTAAAAGAATATTTTTGACCCTTTTCTGATTAAACTATTTAAATTTTGAATCTAGG